AAGTTAGAAACTCATTCTGGTAGGCAGTTAAGTAAGTTGTCTTGTGGTTTGGCTTGATGATTTTGAGGCTAGTTTTTAATCTTCTTTAGGGAGAATCTGGAATATCCTTTATCTTTTGGTAATATAATCTCCTTTCTAAAATAAGACTGTTCTGGGTTCTTTTCTGAATGACCTTTATATTTAGTGTGTTCTTTCAATTCTGGGCAGTGGGAAAGATTCCCTGCATTGTGATACCTCTGGGAATTTTGCTTTTTATTGCTCCCTGGTCATTTTTTTTTTCCCCCCTCAGGAAACGTTTTGCTGGGTTTTCAAGAATGTTTAGTAAGCATTCACAGGTTGGCATTTCATGAAACCCTCTAGATAGATTGCTGAACCTTTTCTCTGCATAGCTCCCTTCTCTAGGTACTCTGTAATGCAATTTCCATTTACCTTGATTCTTCACCAAACTCTAATCTCTATTTCTTCAACTCAGCAAAATTGCTTGGTTCTTTGTGAGTTCTTCTTTTCTTGTGTTACAGTCTGTCATAGTCTCTAGATCTAAAGTCTGGGTGATGGCAGGGCCTATCTTGTTTCTTCTCCTTCTCTCAGGGACCTCAGTATATCTAGTTCTGGAATGCCTGATAGCCACCATCTGAAAATAGTTTGTTACATTTTGTTGAGTTTTGTAGCTATTTATAGCTGACAGATAATTCTGCACCCTGTCACCCCTGGTGGCTAAAAGCAGAAGTTCTGCAATGTATACTTAAACTTGAAGTTGCTTGAACTTTGGATATCTTTCAATGTAGCCAAATAGTACCTTCTTGTGCTTCATGACCTCATTTCTTAAATATTGGTGTTTCCTTGGTATGGGTTTTGTGTTTGGCTCTTGTTTTTTTCTTAGACATTTTCTTGATGGTTTTGTCTCTTCTGAAGGTTGTAAGCTATGTGCTGATGACACCAAAAATTATATTTGTAGTTCAGATCTCTTCTGAGTTTTGTCAATCCAGTTGCTTACCGGAAATCTACTTTTAGATGACTGAAATTGAGCCCATCTTGTTCCCCTTCAAACTGCTTTTTCCTGTGTTTCCTATCTTAGTAAATGGCATTAGCATCCACTCATTTGCAAAAACAAAATATTGACTTTTTTTTTGTATGGCGAACAGTCACATGGACGGCAAAATTAAAAACTTATAAGTGAAGTCAAAATACAAATGAAAATGTTTATAATCTTATAAAAAGGGCTAGTTTCTTTTGTATACAGATAAGAAAAAGACCAAAAACCCAGTGGAAAAATGAGCAAAGAACAAGGAGGTGATTTAGTTTCTTAATCATATGAAAAGATGCTCAACTTCACTCATAGTAATACAAGTTAAGTCTAAACTGTGCTAGTAAGTTTTCATCACAGATTGGCTAAAATCCAAATAATTCGATTAAATATCCGATTGGTGGAACTGTGGGAAAGAAGGGCTCTAATACATTACTTGTTGGAGAATAAATTGCTACAAACTCTATGGAGGACAACTTGCTGAAATCAGTATATGTGTATATATATTTATATAACATACGATTATAGTAGGTAAAATATACCATAATGTAACTAACAATTTTAATAATTACCATTATGGTTATTACAATAGTGATCTTATGTTAGTTATACTACATTATTAAAGTTATATTGATGTTTACATGATTACATATATACTTATTTGTCAGTATATGTATTTTTATATTTATGTATGTATGAATGTATCTGTATTCTCTTGATGTCAGTTTCATTTCTGGGAATTTATTCCACATATATATTAGCACATGTATTAATTGACTTATAAATAAGGTTACTCATTGCAGCCTTGTTTATTGTGTCAAAAGAGAAGGCGGATGTCCATAAGCAAAGGACTGGGCAAGTAAGATATGCTGTATTTCTGCAACCGAACAGGATTTAGCTGTAGAAAAGAATGATGATGCTTTGTACAGGTTGAGAATCCCTTATCTTAATTGCTTGGGACCAGAAGTTTTTCAGATTTCTGATACTTTTTTTTTTTTTTGTATTTTGGAATATTTGCATGTACATAATGAGATACCTTATTTCTTGGGTCTGGTACCCAAGGCCAAACATGAAATTTATTTTATATATACCTTACACACATAGCCTCTAGGTAATGTTACACAGTATTTTAAGTAATTTTCTGTATGAAACAAAGTTTGCGTACATTCAAACATCAGAAAGGTGTCACTATCTCAGCCACCCATGTGGACAGTCTGTGGGGTTGTTTGGAATCACCATCATTTCTGTCTCTGAATACCTGCTACTGATTAGCAATCATTTTCTTATACTTATTCATGCATAAGTACAGTTAAACTGTAAAAAATATGGCGTAACATTAACACAGTGGAAAAAAATACGTTCAGGGTAATTAAGCAGCACAGTAGCATTATCACAATACCTGTATCAGCTTTTAAACAGCAGCAGCAACAAACAGTGGCAAGTTTTTAGTTTTCACTTGTGATGCTGATTTTTGATTGAAAGGAACCATTTCTGCTATTTCTTTTTTCTTTTTTTGAGATACGGTCTAACTCTGCCACCTAGGCTGGAGTGTAGTGGCGTGATTTCGGCTCACTACAACCTCCACCTCCTGGGTTCAAGTGGTTCTCCTGCCTCGGCCTCCCGAGTAGCTGAGACTATAGGCGCCTGCCACCACACCCAGCTAATTTTTGTATTTTTACTAGAGACAGGGGTTCACCATCTTGGCCAGGCTGGTCTCGAACACCTGACCTTGTGATCCGCCTGCCCCGAAAGTGCTGGGATTACAGGCGTGAGCCACTGGCTTTTTTTGTGTTTAACGGGGACAAGGTTTCGCTCTTTGCCCAGGCTGGTCTCGATCTCCTGAGCTCAAGTGATCTGCCTACCTCCACCTCCCAAAGAGCTGGAAATACAGGCGTGAGCCACCACGCCCAGCCCATTTCTGCTATTTTACCATTGGTCAATGAATGAACAACTGGAGACTCATTATCAATGTTAAAAACTTATTTGACATCCATTTTTTCCAACTTACTGACAGACTCTGAAGGCTTTTTTTTTTTTGTATGTGTATGGAAGTCAAACATCTTTTTGTTTTTTATCTGACATACAGAATCCTTCAAAGTCACTGCCTTGTTCATCATCATTACTGAACATAGTTGAGCTAGAGGTTGTGCCAGGTGTGCACAACTGTATGTTTAGATACTGTGTTCCAGTCATTGACAGTAGCATATGCAGCATTCTAAATGCTAACCTGCTTTTGGGAAAACCTTCCGTGCTCATACCTCTGTTCACTGCTGCAAGAAGGCTGCTCAAGAAGATGTTTTTATATTTACTCTGTATTGTTCTAAGGATACCCTGGTCACATGGTTGAATTAATGAAGTCAAATTTGGGGGAAAGTATATGGAATAAACATTATTTTTAATGAGATTTTTCAGCTAGAGGATAAGCAGAACAGGTGTCAAGGAATAACAGAATCTTTCAGTCATCATCCAATCCAGCTTCCCTGCAGCATACCTAAGCCACTGGTATAAAATGTTTGTGAAACCAATCAGAAAAGATGTCCCTGGTGACCCATGCCTTTTTGTTAGTATAATGATGAACCCAGTCTTTCCCACAGAGCAGCTTTACATGTAGTTTGCCTTCTGCATTAGCACCTCCCAGCACAGTTACTCTGTCCCTGGCATTCTCATCTTGTAGGGGCTGTAGTCAGCATCTTTCTTGGGCACTAACACCAAAACTGTGATGTTTCATCAGCATTAGAGATGTGTTCTGGTGTCAGATTTTTGTCAGTGATGGCCTTGGCAAACTTATCAATGAATTTCTCTGCTTCTTCATGATCAGCAGTTGCTTTATCACCACAAATCTTTAAGGATTTAATGTTATGTCTTAAATTTCTGCAATTGGTCTGTTGAATATTCACAGTCCCTTCAATTGTCAGTTCATCATGATATATCTTTGCTTGTTCCACACTCATCATGCTATTAAGTAGTATGTTTTTTCTATGATGCTGACAGATTTACTCTTTCTGTACACATTTGAGTCTTCATTATAGTTTTCTGCAGTTTAAAAAAATTTTTTCATTAACTTCTGTTCATTGACACTTCTGCATAGAACTTCAACAATTTATCTTGTTTCTTCAGGTTGTTTATTCCAACACCATGGTCTTTTTAAGACATTTCCCCCACACTGCTGTCCAGTTTCTCCAGCAGCTTGACTTTTTGTGCTGGAGATAAGCATAAATGCTTCCTCTTTTTCTGTCACTTACTCAGATTTTCAACATTATCTTTATGCCACAAAACAGAGAATAAGCAAAAAAACCCACAGCAAGTAATGCACAGTCTTGGCTCTGTGTGGGACATCGTGGGAAACCTGCTGTCAGTGTATCTGGCCTGTACTTGTGCGGTTTTATTACTTCTGTGGATGTTTAGGTGGGAGAATCTGTGCATGCACGGAAAAGATATGTCAGAGCTGAAGGGGGCTGGGGAGGATCTTTTTTCCTTAAATTGTGTTATGTAATTACAGTTTGACTGTGACTCATTATATGAGGTCAGGTGTGGAATTTTCCATTGTGAGTATCATGTTGGTGCTCAAAAAGTTTCAGGTCTTGAAGGATTTTGGATTTCAGGTTTTCAGATTAGGGATGATTAACTTGTATGTAAACATCACTAACATAGTTTTGTCAAGTGAAAACAGTAGACAACATAACAATATTTATAAAGAAGGGTGTGTGTAAAATTCTTCTCATCTATTCAAAGGAGAGGAATTAAGAATATGTGTTCATATTTATTTGTATGAAGGTTTCACAAGAAACTAATAAAAGTGTTTATTTTTGGAGGTGTTGCTGGCACATGTTCCTTTCAAGCAGGAACAGGGCTTGAAAGGAGACTGTTTACTGTTTATGTTTTTATATCAGTTGAATCTTCTGAATATATTTTAAAAAATTAAAAATTTTGTAATAGGTCTTAAAGAAAATGTTTTCTTTCTTCTTTTTTAAATCAGTAAACTAAAAAAGCTGAGTGAAGACAGTTTGACTAAGCAGCCTGAAGAAGTTTTTGATGTATTAGAGAAGCTTGGAGAAGGGTAAGTATAAAAAATACGAAAGCATGTAAATATTTTTAGAACAATTTAAAAAATGTGTTAATCTTTCAACTAGAGTATATTTGTATGACTTGAATAGTATTTAATAGTAATTAAATCTGGCAGGTGATATTGAATTTTAAAGACTAATTTGTACTAAATCTGGTAATAATGTCTTTTTAGAGACGTAGGCCATATATGTAAAGGAAAAGCAAGAAATGTGCTGTGAAATGATTTTCAAGAGGCTTGTTCGTTCATCCCTTATGGCATTCTCATTAATAGGCTTTAAAGTTTTGACTTTGTTAGACAAGTGACCATAAGGCCATCCTTTTAGACCCTGGGGCTCATTTATTTTGGAAAAGGTAACTATGATATGACAAGAATAGTGAGGAAATCAGTATGCATAGACAGAAGAATAGCTGACATGGTTTCAAAATAATAGTAGAGAAACATGTCTCGGTTTGAGTGGAGAGAAAGATAGGGAACATTTAATGGAATGGCAAAATATAGGAGAATTTTCAAAATAATAGAAGTTACAAAACAGAATTAAAAGCAGCTTAGATCAGCAAGAACAAGGAAAAGGAAATAGAGAAAATAAAAAGGTAAAATAATAAGCTAAACATATGATGGAAGGAATAGACTCAAGTGTATTTTTCAGTAAATGGTAAATCTCTCATTAAAAGACAAACTGTTAGAGTAAATGAACATGCAAAACCTAGCAATATCCTGTTTATAGGAGATGCATGTAAAATAAATAATGGAAATCTAAGGCTATTTATTATTAATAGAGATGGGATCTTACTATGTTACCCAGGCTAGTCTCCAACTCCTGGCCTCAAGTGATCCTCCTTCCTCTGCCTTCCAAATTGTTAGAATTGTAGCTGTGGGCCACTGTGCATGGCCTATAAGGATATTTCTTTTAAAAAATATTATGTGAGAGATAAATATATAAATAAAACCAAAAGAAAGTAATATTAGCAATATTTATATTAAATACATTAAGGTTTAAAAGATTTCAACTAAATAAAGAGATATATTAGGTAGCGATATCAAAGACAATTTATAACAAAACATGTCAGACAACATAGGAGCTAAATTTATGACAGATGACCTATTAGTGATGTCAGGGGATCTAATAAAAGTATAATTGTATGGGAGATTTCAATGTATCTCTTTTAGAATTGGACAGATATAACAGAGAAAAGAGAAAGGACATAAAGGGATTCAATGTTATGGTGAATAAACTTGATTTTATAGAAACGTAAATATATGTGAAGTAAAAATATATCAAGTACCTATATGTCTGTATAACAATGCATATATATGGTCTTGCAGACCTTTTTTGGTGGATGTTCATGGACCATTGATAAAAGTTACAAATTCTAAAAAATAGAGATTTTTACATGTCACATTTTCTGATTGTATTAAGCTGTTCTTGTACTGTTATTAAAAAAATACCTGAGGCTGGTAATTTATAAAAAAAAATGTAATTGGTTCATGGTTCTGCAGACACTCCAAAAAGCACGGTGCCAGCATCTGCTTCTGGAAGGGCTTCAGGAAGGTTATAGTCATGGAAGAAGGCAAAGAGGGAGCAGATGTCTCACATGGTGAGAGCAAGAGCAAGATAGGGCAGAGGTGGCACACACTTTTATTTTTGTTATTTTTAATGATTTTGTTTTATTTTATTTTTTGAGGCGGAGTTTTGCTCTTGTTGCCCAGGCTGGAATGCAATGTTACGATCTCAGTTCACCGCAACCTCTGCTTCCTGGGTTCGAGTGATTCTTCTGCCTTAACCTCTTGAGTAGCTGGGATCACAGGTGCCTGCTGCCACGCCTAACTAATTTTCATATTTTTAGTAGAGATGAAGTTCCACAATGTTGGCCAGGCTGGTCTTGATTGCCTTACCTCAGGTGATGTGCCCACCTTGGCCTCCCAAAGTGTTGGGATTGCAGGCATGAGACACTGCACCTGGCCTGCCACACAGTTTTAAACAATCACATCTTGTGAGAACTGACTCTCAAGAATAGCACCAAGCCATGAGGGAACTACCCCATGACCCAGACATCTGCTAACAGGTTCCACCTCCAACATTGGGGATTACATTTCAACATGAGGTTGGAGAGGACAAATATACAAACCGTCTGACTGGTTAGACTCACTAAATTAGAAATAAGTAATTATAATATGACAAAATCCACACCAACTGGAGATTAGGAAGCATAATTTAAGGTAACCCGATGATTGAAGAGGATATTATCAATTATCTACAAAACAAGAAAAAGGAGAAAACATTGTGCCTATATCTATGGAATACAGCAGAACTAATTAAGAGAAAAGGTTTAAATTCTTTCATTACTAAAGAAGAAATGCAAAAAATAAACTTAGTGCTTATTTAAATAACTTAGAAAAATTATAAAACATACCAAAAGAAACTGAAGATTGAATTAAAGAAAAAACTGAAATTAATGAGATAGAAGAAATCAGAAGTGATAAATATGGGCCGGCACAGTGGCTTATGCCTGTAAATCCCAGCACTTTGGGAGGCTGGGGTGGGTGGACCACCTGAGGTCAGGAGTTTGAAACCAGCCTGATCAATATGGTGAAACCCAGTCTCTGCTAAAAACACAAAATTAGCTGGGCTTGGTGGCATGTGCCTGTGATTCCAGATACTCAGAAGGCTGAGACAGGGGAATTGCTTGAATCCGGGAGGTAGAGGTTCAGTGAGCTGAGATCGTGCCATTGCACTCCAGCTAGGTGACAGAGCAACACTCCATCTAAAAGAAAAAAAAAGAAATGATAAAAAAAAATATATATTTATATGCTTTTGAACAGATCAATAAAATAGTTAAACCTCTTAAAGAGCAAAAATATAGAAGATTTGGAATAAAAAGGAAGATTTGCCAGTGATAGAGAAATGATTAAATATTTTTTAATTATAAAGGTACCAACTCATAGCATATTATTTACAGTAGCCAAAATGTGGAAACCAGCAAATGTCCATCTGCTATCCCAGATGAATAAACAAAATGTGATATGTCTGTACAGTGACCTTTTAGCTGTAAAAGGGAGTAAAGTATTGATGCATGTTACAGTGTAGTTGGACCTACAAAATATTATGCTAAGTGAAGGAAGCCAGATACAAAAGGTCACATATTGTATGATTTCATTTACATGAAGTATCTAGAATGGATAAATCTATAGAGGCAGAAAGCAGGTTCTATATGTTTTGGAACTAAATACAGGTAATTGTTACACAGCATCGTGAATGCACTAAATGCCACTGAATTGTATGCTTTAAAATGTTTAAAATAGTAAATTTTATGTTGTGTATATTTTACCTCCTCCCTTTTAGAAGGGTGCCAAGTATGTTTTATATAGTGTTTAAATGACATTTAATAGGTTTTTTTTTTTAAATGAAGACAGTGTAACTTTAATATCAAGACCTACATGTATAATACAATAAAACTGTAATTTAGCCTTTCTTTGTTACTCATTATGGTAACTGTTCCCACCTTGTGAGACAAGGTGGGACTCACCTGAGGGTGAATAGATGTTGCCACTTCTCTTGTCTTGGGATCCCATTATCTATTAAACTCAAGGAGCCAGTTTCACTGTTGGCAAATTTGTCATCTTTCTCCTGCACTAATAGAGCTTTCATCAGTGCTGATATCCTCTGGACCCTTTTCTTAAACATAGGGAGTGTGTAAGCATGACACATGTAATATGTATCCTTTCTAGTATCCCATTTCCTTGAGCCTTTGATCTTCTTCCTTCAGTGTATACTGAGGCTCACTTAGCATTTCACTTACTGTGGGCCACTTTCGAGTCCAGGTTTCAGTTAACTGCTGAGCAGCTGTTAGGGACTCCCCCAGCTGTTTGAGCTAACACACTGAGTCTGGAATTTCTGGTTTTGCATCCATATCAATAAATTTTTTCTCTCTAGAAATCTTAGAATTTGTTCTCACATGTATTCTTTAGGGTTCTGATAAAAATTGGCAAAGTCTTACAACTTTTTTAGTGTGAATAGTAGCTGCTGGGGTTACATTTTATACTTGTCTCCCTGGTGTCTGTGGGAGTTGAGTATAACTTTGGGTCTGGAAGCAATGAGAAGTGGTGGTGGAGCGGTTTGGAGGACCATTCCATTTTCCTGAAAAATGACTGCCTCAGGAGGTAGATAGAGTCTTTAGGTATTGTAAGGTTAATTTTCTCAGACAGGAGGGCAGAGTTGCTTTTGATAGCAAGGGAGGCTTGATAGGATTTGGGGGTTCAAGGTACTCAGATTAGTGAGACTCCGTCTAAATGTCCTAATACCAGTTCTCTAGGTACCTGTCTTTACTGTTATATGCCTTAACTTTAACATGATAGACTTGGTGGTGATGTGAATTCAACTTGCAGTGTACTTCAGCTTCCAGTAAGACTCTAGCTAGAGTTTGTTTTACAGAAATCTCAACTCTGTTTCTGTGAAAAATTAAGACATTCAGAAGTTTTCTGATTCTCTCAGTCTTGAGCAGGACATTTAAACCTTTAGCTTGTTATGTTTGTTCTGTAACTTTTCAAGTGCAGAGGCAGCAGCCCATTCTATAGTCCTTGTACTTTATTTTCACCAAGCATTGTATTGATACTGCTACTTGGTCTTTCAAAGCTTTGCTAAGTCTCCAGGCAACTAAGCGTGGTAATTTAAATAACTGTTTTGCCACTGAATGCCATAGACCAACGTACTCTATTTGTTACTTGTATTGAAGTCATTACTGTCTGCACATCTGTATTAGTCTGTTTTCACGCTGCTGATAAATACATACCTGAGACTGGGCAATTTTCAAAAGAGGTTTAATCAACTTACAGTTCCACATGGCTAGGGTGGCCTCATAATCATGGCAGAAGGCAAAGAAGAGCAGGTCACATTTTACATGGCTGGCAGCAGGCAAAGAGAGAGCTTGTGCTGGGAAACTCCCATTTTGACAACCATCAGATCTTGTGAGACCCATTCACTATCATGAGAACAGCATGAGACTCAGTCATTTTCACTGAGTCCTTACCACAACACATGGGAATTATGGTAGCTACAAGGTGAGATTTGGGTGGGGACACAGAGCCAGACCATATCAACATCTAAGAAAGAACGAATTCAAGATTCCCATCTTTAAGATTCTTTCCCTTGGAACCACTTCTACCAAAAACAGTACTGCTATCAGGATATAGTCAGGAAAAGAGAAGCTACTCTATATACTCTATCTGATATAAAGAGTTTAGTAAAAAAGGTTGGAGCTCAAATGAATTGTGGAGGGGCCAGGGATGCAAAGCTCATGAAAACTGTTGCTACAGATTGAAGGTTGAAGTCAGCATTGAAGATCTCAGCCTGAAGCAGTGAAGTGGGTGTTTCTCAAAAGCTCTCTGGAAATCTGCTGGAATCCTGTAGTCTTGAGAAAATCCCACCACGTACGTCAGTCTGTTACTGTGGTGGCTGTCAGAAGTGCAGCCGGAGGCCTCTGAGCACATTGTATCTGTCAGTGCGTCTGCTACAACTATATCTGGAGAAAAATAGTTTCTCCTTAACTTTTTGTATTCACACATGCATGTTCTTCTCACCGGCAGATTTTTATGAGGATCCATTGAGGGAAGCAGATTCTGGGAAATGGGGATTGCAGTTTCTCTTTCGTAGTGCTGAGGAGTCCTTAGAAAGGAGTGATGGTGTTGCCTACTTGACATGAGATGATTTAGCACTGAATTCTATGTTAGCTTTTGAAGGAAATGCACATGTACACATATCGCTTTTAACGGGAGTTACACACACATACACTCTCCAACACCCAGCCCAATTTGACTTTGGGTACCAAACCAAAGTAAGTTACTTCAGAGAGCCCAAAGAAACAGAGGAGAGGATAAAATGTAGTTTATTGAAGTAGCTGCTTTATCACTTATTTGTCTCTTTTTCACTTATTCTAAAAGATTATAAATTTGAAAGGGATTCTGCATAGATTCCTAATATTAGGAAACATTCCATGTCTTCCATTGGCTTGTTCTTCTTTCTCTTCTGTAGAAAAATATGGTGAGAAAAACATGATTTTTCAGGTCAGGATGTGTTTGAATTCTGGCCCTTCTGGTCTATTTCTCATCTTTTAATGACAATAATAGTGTTTTTCCTTATGATTGTGAGGGTTAAATTTCATCATGCAACTAGCATAGGACCTGGTTTATAGTAAGAACTCAGTACATAGTAGTGTTTAAGCTCGTTTCAGAGTTCATACTAAGATACAAATGGCTTCTCCCTTCTTTGTTTTTGCTTTTAAAAACACACGAATATTCAGGCGTCTAAGTTTCAGGAGACAGGTTTTAGGCAAGTGACTATCAGACCCTGTTCCTCATTTTATTTACCCGTGAGTGTGTAGTTTTTCCCTTGAAGAAAAGGTAGTGAAAAGAACATTTTTTAAGAGAGACCTTGGATCTGTAAATCAGGTACAAGCAGATGGCTGCAGATTGCCTGCTTCTCTAACTTTGTTTTAATGTGGTCCCCAGCTGGAGGCTTTAACTCGTAAGTACTCTGAACAGCTGTGATTTTTTGATATTCTGGGGGTCATTTTGCTTGAGATCAGCCTTTTCTCCTAATTTGAGGCTTTGGCTATTTTTAATATACATTTCATTCTTTTAATTTCCATTTATATCTTCTTAATGCTGCATTTGTTTGAGTTGACAAAACGTTAGTCTATTTGTTTTATTCATGAGAAAAATAGCAACTCATTATATATTAACTTAATGATTTTTAAGTCTGTAGTTGAAGCAATAAAGCTAAGATATAATTCATTAACTTTTAAAATTTTTACTTGTTTACTTTGATTTTTAAAAACCATTTAAGTAGTGTTTTAAATTAGAGAAGACTATCCACAGGAAACTCATAGTAGACTTGTAATCTTATAGTTATGACATTTGATAGGAAAAAATAATGTTTTGTTTTCTTTTAGGTCTTATGGAAGTGTATTTAAAGCAATACACAAGGAATCTGGTCAAGTTGTCGCAATTAAACAAGTACCTGTTGAATCAGATCTTCAGGAAATAATTAAAGAAATTTCCATAATGCAGCAATGTGACAGGTATGAAGAGATTTTATTTCTTTGTTTACCCTTGTTTTGATAAGTTTTGCTAATAACATTTAACAAAATTTATTCTTTGATCATTTGTTTAGTTTTCATTTCATTTCTTTTCTTTTTTTGAAATGTAATTTTGCTCTGGATCTCACTATGTTGCCCAGGCTGGAGGGCAGTGGTGCGATCTTGGCTTACCGCAACCTCCACCTCCCGGGTTCAAGCAATTCTCCTGCTTCAGCCTCTTGAGTAGCTGGAATTACAAGCATATGCCACCACACCTGCATAATTTTGTATTTTTAATAGAGGTGGGGTTTCTTCATGTTGGTGAGGCTGGTCTCCAACTTCTGACCTCAGTTGATTCATCTGCTTCAGCCTCCCAAAGTGCAGGGATTATAGGCATGAGCCACCACGCCAGGCTTAGTTTTCATTTCTGACTTCCCATTGGAAGTGAGATTAATCCTTTAAGGAAGGTGAGGATGGCTTTGTCAAGTGTCTTTAGGGGTTACAGCTCTTTGCAGCTTTTCTGCTTAAAATCAGGAATGAGGCTGGATGTGGTGGCTCATGCCAGTAATTTCAACCCTTAGGGAGGCCAGAGCATCGAGGGTAAAGGAGACCAGGAGTTCAAGGCCAACCTGGGCAACATAGTGAGATCCTTTCTCTACCGAAAAAGAAAAAATTAGGCAAGTGTGGTAGCTTGGACTTGTAGTCCTAGCTACCTGGGAAGCTGAGGTGGGGTGATTCAGGCCAGGAGTTCAAGGCTATGATTCCACCACCGCACTACATCTTGGGCATTTTTAGGACAAATTTATGAGTCAAAAGAAGTTTTTGATGTTAAAAGGGTCATTTAACAGTCTGTATTATATAATCACTTTTACTAATTAAGAAGTTATATTTTATGTAAATCTAATTTATTCTACAAACATTCACTGAGCACCCTCAGTTGACTGGGTACTGTGCTAAGATCTAGGAATGCCAAAAGAACTAAGATACTTTCTTCTTTTTGAGAGGCTGGTAGTGAGGTTGGGAAGACAAATGTATACATAAAAAGCTGTAATATAGCACACTAATTGTACAGACTCTTACATGGGTGATGTGAGAAGAAATCAGGGCATCTTCTTCAGCCTGTAGAGCCAGGAAATTTGGAATGCTGACAAAGAATTAATTTGGTAAAGAAATGGAGTGATAAGGGACAGTCAAGGGAATGAATAGGTAGAAAGGTAAAAACAGCTCATTGGGGTGTGCTCTTCTGACAAGATTTAGAATTATTGGAGTGGAAAGTATGGGACAGAGAATAGAATGAAATGAGGTTGGATAGTTAAATGGAGCTGATGGTGGGAAGAGTCTCATGCAATTTTTTTTTTTGAGACGGAGTTTCGCTCTTGTTATCCAGGCTGGAGTGCAATGGCGTGATCTCGGCTCACTGCAACCTCCGCCTCCTGGGTTCAGGCAATTCTCCTGCCTCAGCCTCCTGAGTAGCTGGGATTACAGGCACGCGCCACCGTGCCCAGCTAATTTTTTGTATTTTTAGTAGAGATGGGGTTTTACCATGTTGACCAGGATGGTCTTGATCTCTTGACCTCGTGATCCACCCGCCTCGGCCTCCCAAAGTGCTGGGATTACAGGCTTGAGCCACGGAGCTGGGCCGTGTCTCATGCAATGTTAAGTAGCCTAGGCTTTATTCTATCAGGGATGCAGAGTGTATAAGTAACGACTATGTTTAACCTAAAGTTACTTAACCACAGAGGGATTTCTTTTTCTCCCTTAACAAAAGGTCTGCAGCAACAAAGTAACAGCCATGTCTCAGACTTCTTTTCTTATACTTCCCCATCCTTAGCATATGGTTTGTCCTTATGCTTATTATCTCATGGCTATAACAGGGCTGTGTAGTCCCAGCTTTATGTCTGCATTCCAGGCAGGAGGAAGAATGGAAGAAGCAGAGAAGGGGATTTCCCAGAAACCTTCAGCTTCAGTCTTATTTGTCAGAATTTTCTCATGTGTTACTTAGAGGTGGTGACATAGGGTAGTCTGGATACATTGTTACCCCTCATCAATTCAGGGCCTTGTAATTAAGACATTTATGGAAAGCTTTCTCTCTCCTAACAGTACATAGGATCTATAGATTATAAGCTTTTTGGCTAACGAAGTGACTGAATAATCCTAGAGGAACTTTGCTGCTTTAATCTGTTCAATTTTGCTTTTCTTTAGAGTATGCTGTATATTTAAATTACATTACGTATTTTCCATAGCATGGGAAATTCAAGTGATTATAGAAAACAAAGGTACATTCCTCAGCTGTGGTTCCCACAATTTGATATAGAATAGGAGATGAGATAGCATAGTGCTTGGCTTTATACTTGCCTGATGCTTTATACTTGCCTGATGCTAGTATTATTTTGTTATTATGGTTAAAAATAGTTCAGGGAATAGCATTGTACTTTGAATATTGTCTAGGAAAGTCAGGGTCTCAAATATTACTATTACGTATCTCTTCCCTTAATCATTGTACATCTTGGAACCTGTCAACTCTTGCTCAGATTTCTGCACCAGTTTCTTATTTGTTCACTTCGTCTTTCATTTTTTTGCCTCCTTCAACCCATTATCTTTGTTGAAGCTAGAATGTTCTTTCTAAAATGCAAATCTAATCAAGCATTCCCCATTTAAAACCTGTGGCTCACCATTGCCTCCTTAGATCCAGTCTCTGAAAGTGGCGTACAGGGTCCTTCATGTTCCAGCTAGTGCTTACACCTCCAGTCTCTTACCTGAGTTTCTCTTTCAAGTGCCTGTTTACTTGTATTCTCTGTCATCTGAGTCTTAATTCCTTGAGTTTGGGGATTGTATTTCATTCATTGTCCTTGGATCCTGCCACATAATGGTTACTCAGATACTAATGAGTGCTTCTATTTAATAATTTCTGTTTGGGCAACTCAACTAGAATATCCAGAGGGAATTACACATTTAACATTCTAAAACCAGTTTTAAACATTCCAGACAAGCCTTTCAAATTCCTGCGTGTCAAAGGCATCATCATCATCTACTTAGTCTTTTAACAAGACTTAGAGTCATTTTTTATTCCTTTTTGTGATACTTCTGATGATACTGAGTCTTGTAGATTTTCCTTCTGAAATGTCATCACTATCTCTATTCTTCTCTTCATTCCTTAAGAAAAACAATCATCTATATTTTTTTATTAGCACCCGTTCAGTGCCTAGCACTATGCATTTTGATGAATGAATGAGTGGGTATGGTACGTATGAGGAGTATGAGGAAGAGCATTACAGATTGAAGAAACCCCAGGGAAATTAGGTACTTATTCTTGTTATGTACTTTAAGCTTTGAAAGGGAAAGAAAAGTAAAGAATACAGTGGGAAGGTAATGGGAATAGAATTCAAGAACTTTTGTAACCACTTTATAGCAGAAGGCCTTGCACATTCTGCTACAAAGTGGTATAAAAGTTCTAGAATTCTTTATTTGAGGTACTTCTCAAATATTTGTTGAACAAAATAAATGGCAAAGCAAATATTAGTGAAAAATGGTTTCTGCCTTTTAGATTTTGCTGTCAAATTTATATTGTAAGTATGAGTTGCAAAGGATCAAAAAATTAGTTGGTTAAAAGACCCTAAAATGCTAAAAGATAGGGCAAGTGAAAAATAAATTAGGGCTGTACATGGTGGCCCATGCCTGTAATCTTAGCACTTTAGGAGGCCGAGGCGGGCGCATCATCTGAGGTCAGGAGTTCGAGACCATCCTGGCCAACATGGTGAAACTCCGTCTCTACTAAAAATACAAAAATTAGCTGGACATGGTGGTGGGTGCTTGTAATTCCAGCTACTTGGGAGGCTGAGGGAGAAGAATCACTTGAACCTGGGAGGCAGAAGTTGCAGTGAGCTGACATCGTGCCACTGCTCTCCAGCCCAGGTGACAGAGTAAGACTTCGTCTTAAAAAAAAAAGGAAATAACAGGGACAAACTTGGGTTTTAGCTACCAATTGCTAGTATTAATGTAAACATGTTATTAAGAAATTAGCATAAAAATGATTGGAAGAAAACAGTATGAATTGAAAAATTCCCACATAATACACTGACATGTTGGTTAGGGAAAATGAGATGTGCAGTTCTGAAATTTAACTTTGTTCGTAATACATTCAGATATTTGGGAATTTGGTAAATTGTCTTGCTTTCTACACTCAATAAAAAGACCAAAGGGGGTGTTTTAATGTTTTATTTTGTTCATTTTAAGTGAATATTTAATAATGGACTGAATACTGCATGTTGGCATAAATGTTGAAGGGAGCCCATCTGCTTTGTTTATTGCTGAATGTTCAGTGCCCATTCAGTACCAGGTACAGAGTAGACATTTAATAAATAAATATTTATTTTTATTATACTTTAAGTTCTGAGATACATGTGCAGATCATGCAGGTTTGTTACATAGGTATACATGTGCCATGGTGGTTTGCGGAATTCATCCCCCCATCGTCTTCATTAGGTATTTCTCCTAATGTTATCCCTACCCAGTCCCCCAAACCTCTGCTATCCCTCCTCTAGCCCCCTCCCACCCCTGGACAGACCCTGGTGTGTGATGTTCCCCTCCCTGTGTCCCTGTGTTCTCATTGATCAGCACGCACTTATGAGTGAGAACATGCGATGTTTGGTTTTCTGTTCTTGTGTCAGTTTGCTGAGAATGATGGTTTCCAGCTTCATTCATGTCCCTGCAATGGACACGAACTCATCCTTTTTTATGACTGCATAGTATTCCATGGTGTATGTGTGCCACATTTTCTTTATCCAGGCTATCATTGATGGGCGTTTGGGTTGATTCCAAGTCTTTGCTATTGTAAATAGTGCTGCAGTAAACATATGTGTGCATGTGTCTTTATAATGGAATGATTTATAATCCTTTGGATATGTACCCAGTAATGGGATTGTTGGGTCAAGTGGTATTTCTGGTTCTAGATCTTTGAGGAATTGCCACACTGTCTTCCACAATGGTTGAACGAATTTACACCA